CATCTCATAATGGCTTAAATGTCATCTCTGAAGGTAGTGTGTTTCCAGTTCCAGCTCAAGATATATGACTAAATCCAACCCCGTTTGGGGATCCTTCACATTTTGTCTGACTAATTTGACCATTACCTCTCCCTCCTTCAGCTTTTATCAGCAGCCTGTCTGTAGTTTATGACTCAATGCTTTCCCAGCAGAATTCCCAGCGCTGCTGAACAATGCCTGTGGCCAGTGCCTGCTGGGGGAGTTATCACTGCACTGATAGCATGCCTTTAACTGAAACCCCAGGCCTGGTGTATGTTATGTTTTTAAAAGGGGGAAGAGGGACAAGATCATTTCCACACTGCCAGGGAATGCGGCCTGCTTTGCCCAAGAGGTCTTGTGGGTGGTGTTTGTTTTAATAAGCAACTTATTATGTGCTCGGGAATGAGGGCACAAAGAGTGGGAAAGTGGAAAAGGGATATCCCCTGGGTGCTGCATAATAACACATTGGCACCTCGGGAATACTTCCGGATGTGTGGGCTTCTGAAAAGTGAATAGAATGTCCCCATAAATCTGTCACCCACCCGCACACTGGTGTTAGTGATCCAGGGAAAAGAGCTCTTCGGAATGGTCAGTGAAGAGGACGAGGACAAGAAAGAGAGTGAAGGAGACAGAGAAGCAGAAGAAGGAAGAGGGAAAGAAAAGGTGGGAAAAGGAGAAAAGAAAAGCAGATGGAGGAAGGGAAAAAGGAGGGAAGGGAGGGAGGACAGGAAGAAAGGAAGGAAAAAAGGAAGAAAAGATGGATGACTTGGAGATAAATGGATCGTGAGGTCTCTAACCACATCGATGGATTAATTCATTGTTTGGTTTACAATTTAATGGAGTAATTGGAAAGTGGTGAAATCTTAGGAGGTGGATCTGGTTGGAGGAAATAGATCTTTGAGGGTGTGCCCTTAAAAGCTATATCAGCACAGGTTCCCTACCATGAGATTCTGCCTTACCGCACGCCAGGAACAATTGGGGTCAAGAGACCATGGACTGATCCCTGTGAATCTCTTTCTTCCTTTTAAACTGCTTTTCCAGGTATTTGATCAAAGTAATGGAAAACTAAGACATCATGTTATGAATGAACATTACCCTCATTTGAACCTATTCTTTTGGCCAATGTCTTGACCAATTTCCTTAACACATATAGTGATAATAATAATGTCCACCAGGTAAAGCCTCCCACACTCCATTCCCACTTCTCTGATTCATTAAAGCCAAGTCTTAGGTGGGAGTGGTGGTGAATATCTGTAATCCCAGCACTCTGAGAGGCTGAGATGGGAGGATCACAAATTCAAGCCCTGGCTGGGTAATTTAGCAATTTAATGAGATCCTGTGTCAAAA